CTCCTCCCTATTATTCCCCTCCCTCTGGAGAGAACTAAACCTAAACGAGCCTAACCAAGAATATGGATTTTGAAAATCATGCCTAGCCAAGAAAGAATTTAATGACAGTCTGCTCATCTTCCACTAGTTGATAGACCAGACCTGGTAAACAGTGTGCCTTACAAAGTAGCAAAGGTTTATGCAGTTCTCATTATGTGACAGGCACCGTTCAGAGTGTTTTATATTTTCAACACTGTTAACCCTTACAACTATCCCATAAGGCAGGTTATCAGCTGCATCTTACAAGTAAAAAAATGAGGCACAGAGAGTTAACTGCTATTATGGTTTAGATGTTATTTATGTTCCCAAGGGCTCATCTGTTGGAGATTTGGTACCCAGGGTGTGGTATTAGAAACTGATAGAAACTTTAAAAGGTGAGGACTACTGGTCCCCTTAGAACTTTGAGAGTGATGCCTTCAGAAAAGAATATTGGTCTCCTGGAAAGAATTCTGGCTGCACAAGTTGTTATAAAACCTTGAGCCTGGCCCCATCTATCTCTCTCGTTTCCTGTATGGCAATATGATCACTTGCTCTCATATGCACTCCTCCCATTGCCATCTGCCATGATGTGATACAGCTAAGAGGGCCCTCATCAGAACTGAGCTGATACAGGTACCAGGCCCGTGAACCTCCAAAACTAGGAGGTCAAACCACCTTTGGCTTTATAAGCTATCTGCATCAGGTATTTCATTATAGTAATTAAAGACCAATGCAAGTACTTTCTGCAAATTCATATGTGTTGGAGATGAGATTTTGAATATAATTTGATGGGCTTCAGAGTCTACACTCTGCACATTCAGTTATGCTGCTGCTTATTCCATTGTGGCTAGGAGCAGAACAACAAAGATCACCATTGGTCGCAGAGCAGAAGTAGAAACTCTTCCTTTCCCCCTAAAGAAAGCCCAGAAGTGAACTTTTGGATATATGTGATTTTTAAAGAGTGATAACTATTTTCCACTAGTAAACACGGACCTCTGCAGCATGTGCTCACTGCCTCTATCCATCATCTGTAACAAGTTACCGTAGTATGTTGACTTATAAAGATATGGATCTGGGGGCTGTGAGTATGATGATTTGTGAAGATCCTTCCTCTTTCTACACTGATGATTTACTCAGTTAAGTTGTGAGTATTTCTAATGTTGTTGGATTATAGAAAATTTCTCTGATCCATTGCTTTGGAAGAGCCTCTAGGGAGAAAATGGGGTTAAGAAACTGGAGGTGGGGCTCTCTGTCTTCTATGTGTATTTTTTCACACAAACTTCTGGATACCTCAATTAAATTTTGACACCATCTGGAATTAGGGGCAAACCTCACAGGTTAAGGACTCAGTTTAGCAAGACTGAGACTACTACCACTTCAGATGCCAATCGCAATCAGTCACTTATCCTTCTGATTGAGGCATTGTAAAGTTGAAGGTTTCCCACAACCCTCTCCTCAAGTACAATAAGAATGGTTCAAAGATCTCAGGGAAATGTTCTACCTGCTATTACCAGTTCACTGTAACTAAATTCCTCTAGAAAGAGCCAAATGGAAGAGACATACATGGTGAAGTAGCTTCCATGAGCTTTCTGGATGTTCCATATGCTCACCAACTCAGTTTTCCACACTCTCCATCATTTATGGGTTTCTTTGAGGTTTCACAATTGATTTTAATCATTGGCCCTTGGTGATAATATTCATACTATAGCTCCTCTTCCCTCCCCAAAGGTCAGAACAAGGAATGAGGCCAAAAGCGTCAATCCCCTGAGGACCATGAATGTACTCCCTCCTGAGGGTGTCTATTTGCTGCTGATAGTGGCGGTCCAAGTCAGGGACTGTATGTCACAGCTGCCTGGCATCTAGGTATGATAAGAAAAAGTAATTTTCATGAACAAAACATGACCAGAAGTGACATATGTCCCTTCTGGGTGAGTGGATACAGAGAAGATGTGCCTTTTCCTTACTCTGTTTCTCATGTTCATGGCTAGAGAGTTTCTGAAGCTCTGGAAGGGGCAGGAGGTACCAGGCAGAAGAAGCCTGGATCCTTGAATGACCATGTGTAGAAGATTCACTGGCCAGCCAGGAATGCCTTTCTTGGGCTTTTGCATGTATTTAAAAAAATACACGCTCAGACTTGGGGATAGATTTGGGGAGTATGTTTGTTACAGCATTGAATTAATGCAGTCACTCACATAGGTAGGAGCTAAACCATTGTAGGCCTCAATTGGACTTCTCAGTTTTACTATGAAAAAAAAAAAAAAAAGAGCTCAGGGAACTGAATCCAGCATAAAATTACGTAGTCACACAGAAAGACAGTTGCCTCTATTAGAAATTCCCATTACATTTGGGCCAATTCAATGCCTCTCCTTTCAAGCCTCTGGGAATCTTTTAACGTTTGCCATGCTCATAGTGCAAAGACGGAAGAGGACCAGGAGTCCTCGCACAGGAAAGCTCCAGAAACAATCTGAATCTTCCTCATCACCAGGGTCCAGCTGGGGTTGACAGTGTATGCTCCTGGGTAACCTGTCCCTCATTGAGAGAAAACTGGATGCAGGTTTTCCTATTAAAATGTTTCCCATTTTCCCTAAATATGTGGTTTGAGGCCTCACCTCTTGGCTTATTTCATAAGTGGAATGAGTTCCCATTTTTTTTTTTGTTGTTGTTGCTTTATTTAGGTAAATATTGAGGGTGAGTGGATGAGTATTTAGAAGAAGATAATATTCTGTTATTCCTTTTGCATTGATTTTGGTTTTGAAAAATGTGACTACCCTCCTCCTTATTTTACCTCCTGCTCCTGTTCAAAATTCAGCAATGATGTCTCCTTCCAGCTCCTTCTGGGCTCAGGAATCTCAGAACCCTGGGCACTGGTCACAAGGCCTGAGGAAGCCAACACAAGCTGTGTGTGCCCAGGTGTGTGTGGCGCCCTCTCATCCAGCTGCCTGTGACATCCAGGGAAGAGCAGCTGCCTGCCTTTTCCTTGCTAATTTTTCTTCCCTGCTGAGCTACATGGGGGAGAATAATTGCCTTCACTCTGAGCGCTGACATTCCCACATTCAAGCACCTGCTCTACCTCTGTTCTCCCAGTAGGAAGACAATTTCTGCCACCATTGGTGTTTCCTTCATAGCCTACCTACTGATTAGAGAAACACACTTTAGAAGAGGCAGTTGGAGGCCTGTGACTGTGGCCAGGGCTGAAGCAGCATTTTGGAAGGCTGGTTGGCATTTTCTGCTCATGAACTGTGAACCATGGTGGGAATTGGCCAGAGTGGCTGGGCAAGGAACTTAGCCCCATCTTACTCTTTTAAAAGGTTCCAGCCCTGTCTGCTGAAATTAGTCAGGAAAGCTTAAACCCAGGAAAAAAGGAAACCAAGTCATGGTCATTCTAGGATACTGTGTTGAATTTGTCAGAAGCTTTTTTCAAGGTATTCAAAGTTATTTTGTGGTTACTAGAGGGTTGGAATCAATTTTTTGTTTTGTTTTAGGATGTGCATTCTTATTCTAGATTATAAATTATGATGCTGTAGATGTATGAATCTGGGCAGGATCAGAGGGCCAGAGTAGCACCATCTCATGGTGGAGGGGAAGCACAATCTAGGATTCTAAGACTCTCCCTTTACAAGTAATTCATGCGTTGTTGATTACAAATAAGCCAGGAGAGGGACAGCTCTGATTGTCTCCCTTTATCATGCTCAAAAGAGCCAGCCACTGGCTAGCTCTTAATTAGGATTACAATGCTTTTCAATTTTTAAAATTTCTATGTTTATATTTCTTAATCATGCAGGTAATAAACTTTCAGTAAATAAATCTTAGATCAGGATTTGACAGACTATTACCTACAGAGCAAATCTGACACTCTACCTATTTTTTAAAATAAAGTTTTATTGTAATACACCTGTGCCCTTTTATTTATGTGTTGTCTATGGTTCCTTTCATAGTAAAGCAAGTGTTGGATAGAATTAAATAACTGAGAATGTCTAAAGTATTTTCTATGTAGATCTTGATAGAATTTTTTCTGATATCTATATTAAACTGATAAAAAATAAAATAAAATTCATAATCTCATCACCCTGAAATCACTAATGCTAATATTGTCTATTCCTCACCTTTTATTCCTATAGAAGCCATTTTTAGGAAAGAAGATGGCTCTCTTCCCCAGGCCAAATTTGGTTCAGATGTTGAAAATGACAGTCCACTTACACACTGAGAGGACACAGAGGTTTATTGCTCACATAGGTTTCTCTGGAGGAACTGAAAAGTCATTCCAAACTGCCTGGAAATGACTGGAAGAGCTGGAAAAGTAGGCTGGCTTGGGATTTTTAGGGTGTTGACAGGGTGAGGCCATAGGGAGAGTTCCTGTAGGAGGCAAGGGGCTCATGTGGTGTGAATCTTTTTTTGAAGGTTGTATATGGTTTGAATCATGCCCTGGTGCTAAAGGTGGGAGCACCTGGTTTTCTCATCTGCTTTCCCAGATATGGGGCAGAAGGGGAAGAAAGGGGACGAGGCTTAAAAGAAGTTAGTGGTCAGATATCATAAAATGGAGTTGCTCCTTATGACACCACCACATGCCCTACCACGCTCATCCACCCTGTTCGGCCCTCCCTGGCTTCTGACAGAAAACAAGTGGCTTCACCCTCAGTAGTTTCTTCTGGGAAGAATTCAAGGGTTCCTCCCCTACCATGTGCTCTGACTTTCCCGGGGGGGGGGGGGACACATTTCCTAGGTCACAGCAAAGAGAAAGAGTAAAGAAAGGTGGGCAAAGAACTCAAATCTCCCCCCATGATTCCCTTCCTTTACTCCTTGTGCTCCTGATACCCCATTTTCTGCTTTGTTCCTTGAAAACCTGGCCCCTAGAAGAGCAAGGCACCTTCCTTATAGGAGAGAAGAGCCGTTCCTGTGGCAGCCCAGAGGGAGTGGCTAAGACTAATTCTGTTTTAGGTCATGGGGGAAGTTACCTCCTTCTTTTTTCTCTCCCTTCGATTTATTTTCTTTTGTTACCAGAGTTGAAGAAGTATCTACAAGTGTAAGATTAAGACTTGAACCCAAGGGAAAGATCAAGTTTTGCTTCTAACCTGGGAGAAAGATATCCCACCTTTCAATCATGTGTTGGAACTCTGCTTGTGGACATCTATTGGGCTCTGGATTTAGAGCCTCAGCTTCTGATAGGAGTCTTCTGCCTAGAACATTTATCTTGCTGGATCTTCCTTGGGAGCCTTACCAAGGAGCAGCTGAGAATGGAAGCCGGGGTCCTGGGCTTTCAGCCATCCTTCAAACACTGCTGGCCTGAGACATGCTTAACTGAAGGATGAAGATGAATACCATGAAAGCTCTAAGGAGGAGGAAAGAGGATGCAAAGAGTGGGAGGTAAGGAGAACGAGGACTTTTCTATTATGTGCTAGTAACCTTTTAATACAATACCTTTTAATATGGAAATTCTTAAACATACACAAAAACCTTGAAAGTGGTCAAGACACCCCATGCACTCATGCATCTCATCCAAGTATTGTTCAATGTTAGTTTATATTCTGCACAACAACTCTGAGAAACAGGTATGTTATCTTTTATGTAAAATTGGTTTGGAAACTTCGGGTTACTTAAAATCAGACCTGGTAGTTCATGGTAGAAGAAATGATAGTTCTCTTTAGTTCTTCAGTATTATGTGATCCCCAGGAATGGCTCTGCAAAGAATGGAGGACTTAACTAGGCATGTCATAAAAGAAACAAGGGGACCCTCTGACAAAGAGAGTGAGGGATTCCACACCCAGTGAGAGAGATGAGGAGAGGGCGCTGGTGCAGACATTGGCTGCCATCTGCAGGAAGAATCTTCTGGTCCTCACTGGTATAATGTCTGGGAGGTTCTCTCTCTGTGCCCCAGTCACCACCAAATATCCAGCCTTCCTGTGCAACAAAAGGAGCTCATCAAATGGCAACTCCCTACTATATGCCTGCCTGCTAAGTAGAGATAACCCTTCCTTTTACCAGAAAGAGATATTAATACATGCTTTCTTATAAGATCTCAGAGCAGAGGGTCTATCTTTGCTTCCTGAGTATGTATGCAAGTGATGTCTCATCACCAGCTTAATTTTATTTATTTATTTATTTTGCCACCAGATTAAATATTGCTTAGCCATTTCAGAGGGAGCCTGGTTTGCTTCTTCCTGCTTTGTTTATTATTGAGTGCTTCCAAATAAGGAACAAGAGTCTACGGAAAGGGAAATGATTGTTTGAATCTGCAAGAGGATGTTAGAGGACATCTTCAGCAATTTTAATAATAGCTTTGGAACAAATGCCTGTATAGTCTTGAAATGATGACAAGTGAAACCCTAAAAAGCTTTGTTGACTCAGGGAAGATAGAATTGAAACTGGGAGGATGGACATTAAACATGTAGAATAAGAAGTTAAAAGCCTGGTTTTGTGTTGGTTTTATGAATTCATTAAATAAATGAAACATTAAATAAGCACTTATATGTCTGATTTTTTTCTAATATTCAGATATCTGACAATATATTATGTATAAGCTATATAATTTTGAAAAAAATTGGTCACATTTATAATATTTAGCCCATGTACAAAACTTGTCTGAACTTTTAATACATATAAGAAAAAAGGTTTGATAAAACATTATTTTGCTTTTTAAATCCTGGCATGAAATTGTGAAGGATATGGCTCTTTGGTCCACTTTATTAAAAGCTCTCAGATCCAGCTTATTAAGAGCATCCAAAATGTTCTTAGTTATCTGCTGCCAGCAGTATTTTAAAATTTTCATTGTGTTTAAGTCAATTTCTGTCTGGGAAAACCTACACATAGATCAAGTCACGTCTGGAAATGTGCATTTTGGAGAAAAGTTCAAGTGTCATTTCTGGAAGGTGTGTGGTGCCTCTATTGCCATATCTCATGAATGGTGGTTGTCCTGGTTAGAAGCAAGTGCCCAGTCGGTGTCAGGTCATTGGGAGGCATGGAAGGGGAGAACTATAGTTGGAGGAGAGAAAAGGAGGATCATTTCTGCTCCAAGTTTTTCTCTTTTTATGGTTTAAGTAGAAACTTTTGAGATTCTAGGCATGTTTTATTGCCCATCCTCTCGCTCTAGTGGGAGAGGAGGTATACAGATAAAGGATAAAGGGTTTTATGGCAAGTGTTTGAATTTGCTGGGATATTTAGGAATTGTGTTTGTTCTTCAGGGAGAACTTTTCATATGTTCCTCTAAGGATAGAAAAGGAAGGATGACAGGCTGCGTAAAGTGCTGTGAACCAAAATGACACACAGGAGACAACTTAGCATCAGGCTTATAGGTTTTCTGGTGGGACCGAGAGAATTGAACAATCTATACCAGACACAGAGCCACTGGGGACTAGCATAAATGAGTTTCTCTGCCACTGCTCCCAAATTGGTGTAAAAGTAGCAGTTCCAGAGAGATTGAGCCTTTTCTTCCTTGGCAGCTAGTGGGTCTGTCTGGTAACACACAAACCCCAAGCATGTCCAGGACTATGATGGCTCAGCATCCCTCTAGTACAGTATCCTCGAGAAAAAAAATGTCCCAGCCGATCCATTTACATGAACTATTCTTTAATCTCACTCCTGAACAGCAGTGGTATCATCTCCCTGCTGTTCCAGTGTTGCTATGACCTTGCTGTCAAGTCTTAGAATAGTGGATGTTGTACTCAACACGAAAGGCTGAATGGAAGTGACCATCTGAAGTTGGAATGCAATCATCTTTAGGAATGATTCTACTATCCAATGCCTAATGTGATGCTATGTAACTGCACCAATTCATGCTTTTCATGTCTTCTGAAAATACATGCCCTGCATTTTTAAGCATTCTGTATTGTACTTTTAAATACAGGCCAATGTGGAAAATGTATAGATTTTATAATAAATATTTTAAAATTTTGTTCCACTATGTAGAAAAACAAACAGTGCCAGTATGCTATACATGGTGCAATCCATACACAAAAAAAATTATGACTAATGTGTGTATAATTAAGTCTAACCTTTATAAAAATCAAAGAAATGTGCATCAAGACAATAATAAAGTGCAAATCTTTCCTTATCATATCACCAAGCACAAAAGAATAATAATAGCAATAATAATAGCAAGAGTTGTGTGAGAGGAAATGGATATTTTTCATTGGTGTTAGGAGTACAAATTGTGTTTCTGGGGGTGATTTGAAAATATATATCAAAATATAAATGTACATATTCCTTAACTTGGTAAATTCATTTTAAGGAATTAATTCTAAGGATAAACAGACTAGCACGTTAAGATGCTGGTATACAGAGGTTCAACAGCACTGCCTATAACACAAAACCATGGAAACAAATGTTTATCAATAGAAGATTGCTTAAATAATGTATGGTATAAGCCAAACAATAGTTTGTAACCATAACATAAAGCTATACTATGAAAGCATAACATAAAGCTATGTTATGGAATAGATTCAATATGTTGTTAAATTAAAAATAAAACATTTGTTATATACAAAGCACAGGATAACACATTTGCAAATTTTTATGAGGAGAAGGATGTGCACCAAAATGAGAATAGTCCTAAATGTCTTATATGGGCAGGGGAGGGATTCTCTGGGAGTTCTCTTTCTCTTTTTTATAGCTTTCTTGATTGCAAAGGTTTATTTTTCACTTGTTTACTTCTGATTAATTTATTCAACGAATTTACTGAGCTTCTACCATGTGCCAGAAACTGTTCTAGACCTTTGGGATACAACACTGAATAATTTCAGTTCAACAATCCCTATCTTCATGGTACTTACATTTTGAATAATATGTTAGATAATATGTATCCGAGAGAAAAATTCTTTGCTTGCATCAAGCAAGGAAAGGGACTAGGAGAGAATCTTATCCATCTTCTATTCTTTCCATTGGCCTAGAACAGTTTATGGCAGAGCAGGGCTCAATAATTTTTCCTAAATGAATTTAAGAACATTATTTGGCCAGGCTACCATGCAGGAGGCATGCTACTGGACCTTCAGCCCTGGCTCTTCTATCTTGGGTGCATATAGATGAGATCTCCTTCAATTCACTCATCTTTTTCTTTGGACTCACTAACATTCAGCTCATCTTGCCCAATCACACTCTAGATTTGGCCTTCTTGAGATTAGTATTTTTCCATGGGCTAAACTTAGTTTCTTATCATCTTTTCTTCCCCCATTTATTTTGTAGGGTGGATTATCTCTGTATATAGCTTATTCCATGCATATGAAGTATAGAGACAATGTCAAATTGTCTTTATTAACTTAGTTTCTTATCATCTTTTCTTCCCCCATTTATTTTGTAGGGTGGATTATCTCTGTATATAGCTTATTCCATGCATATGAAGTATAGAGACAATGTCAAATTGTCTTTATCCTTTGGGGAAGTACTCCTAAGTTTCTCCACATAATTGCCATAAATAAAACCATGCCTGGCAATAGCAAATACACTGTTGCTGAGTACCCTCTTTTATTTCCTTCTTCAGTCTGTAATTGGCAGAATTCTACTCTTGTTACTACTCCATGACTTTTTGTCTCAGGAAAATTAGTCAGATTATAGAAAGAGGATGCAACAAGTTAGAAAGACAGAAGGGATATTAAGTAACAAGGATCCTCTCATAAATATTATCTCAACTTTTAATAAAAATATGCACTCACATGCTCTGAGACAGATGTCAAGGGCAATTGGGATCTTAAAGCATGACAACAAAATTTAGGATATAGAGGACAAAGAAATGTGTATTAAGCAATTATCTTCCACCTGTCTTCACAAATGAAAGACTTAACAAGGGATTCAATTGCTAAGAACAGCAGATGAGAAATTAGTACACACATAGATTAATATAAAAATGGTCATGATAAGCTTAAAGTATTATTGAGGAACACAGAGTAATGCTTTTTTTAAGTAGCTAAGAACAAACATGGTTTTGAAGTTGCATAACAAAGACCATTATGAATATCCCTTATAGGAAGTCCTTTGCATGAATATTTGAACTTGCTGCCAAAACAGAAACAGCAAACAAATACTTCATCAGGTCCCACAGTCACACCATTAAATAGACTCTCAGTAGTTTTAGTTTGCAAAGCTCTCAGGTCCCTCCAGTGAATTCAAGAAAGTCTGATCATATTTCCCCAATTCTTCAAGTATACCACTGCTATCAGTTTTGTGTTTCACTTATAAGAAAGTATTTCTTCATCAGTAAAATGGATCTATTAATATTTGCCACCAAATCAGCTCTCCAAAGTGAGTAAGATAAGATTAATTAAACTTCTTGAGTTTCCCTATTAAAAATATTTAAATAGTATATGTGATCAGCTTTTTGAAAGTTTTTATGGGGAAATAAGTTTTAGTCACCAAGATCCTTCCTTATGTCTCAGAAA